AACAAGTACACCTGCAAATGAGAGCATTTATTTGAAAGGTCATATTGTGCTGAGCATTTCACCCAAGTGAGCCTGCATTTAGATACTCACTGCTATGAGGAGCGAATCGCCTGCAAAATGCGCTCGTCCTAAAACATCGTCCACATTGAGCATTTGAAATGTGCTTGCTAAGTGGGAAACGGTAACCCTATTCGAACTCAGTGCTCAAGGGGCGTGTGGACGACCAGTTGGGAGCACAGTAGTTACATCTGTACTCTCTGCTCGTTCCCATCTATGCTTATAATCATTTAAAATGCCAATTAAAGCCATAGGGAGAATGGTTCTTCCTGAAGAACCCCAGAAGATGGGGTTTGAACTTAAAGTGGTTATTACAAAAGGAGTCGGGAGGACTGATAACCTACACAAGTACGCTTGATCTCGGAGTTTACGTTTTCCGCATAAATGGGTCATTCGAATGCCATTTTGATGACTTAAACCAAAATGTGTTCATCAAGAACGCCGAGAACTATGTACTAAAACAATGAAAAGTTCGAGTTGGAGAAGGCTTGTTTTACCCCTTACAAGATTAAGCTCATGACCCCAAACTATCAGTAACATCGAAGTACTTTCATACATCAATGCAAATTTTTATGATCCAACACAAATTGAATCCCGTAAATAATAATCTCAACTTACCAGTAAGTCCCGTGACCTTGCTCCCAGCGGAAGTTGTGCCATAACCACCAAGAATTACATTGGGGAGAGAGCGGTTCATTGCTCGACACATGATGTAGGAGAGGATGGCACCGGAAGAACCAATTAACGCGCCCACCACCGTCATAAGACTGTTATTAAGCATGAATCCCTCTGCACACAGCGCCCAACCGGAGTAGCTGTTGAGCACTGTGATCACCACGGGCATATCAGCACCTAAACATCCAACATCGTCAGTCCGTTTTTGGGCCGATCACGTGACATGAAGAGTAGCGGACACTAACAAACCTCCTATCGCAGCGGTTAGAGTGACACCAGAGACGGATCCAGCCAAGGCAGCACCACCAAGTAGCATGGAAAGAGGCACCATTGGGGTCTCTAAGTCACCCCCAGATGCTAAAAAGGCTGCCAAGCCGGCCGTGGAGATACCAACAAGACTGGCATTCAATGCATGACGCATGGGTAGCAATAGAGGTTGGGAATCCAGGATACCTAACATTAGGCGGTGAGAAAAAAATAAGAACAAATAAATAGACTTTAGTAAAGCAAGGATGGGTAGTAGATAGAAAACGAAAATTCACCTTGAAGTTTGCCAAATGCAATGAGTGACCCAGTGAAAGTGACACCACCAATCCAAGTTCCCAAGTAGGCAACTGTTTTCATTAAATTTCCGGCTCCAATAAGGCTTGGATCAGCGAACATTATTGGTGCTTCAGTGACGTAGTTAGCAACGCAGGTGAGAACCGCGGCGATACCAACCAGACTACAACGTCAAAGGCCATCACAAGTAAAGCTCTTAATACCGTTAAGCAATTACAAATACTATTGG